AAAAAATGTGAAACCTTCAAAACTCCTCGTTGAACTCTGATCTTTTTGACTGCTATAACACATTGCGCATCCAAATTAAGAGCTTTGTACACAGTTCCAAAGCTACCACCAGCTAAAAGGAAGAATATTGAACGCACTCAAAACTTCAACAACTACTCAAGCTTCTCACCCAATTTCTCTAGAATCTGATATCTAAATGGAGCAGTCTTTGATGGATCCGCGTAGTTCTCCAGATTGAATTGATCATGTTTGATAGCAATAACGCGACCAAGTTTGTAAGGAGTCTAAAATCGCACTGTTAGCGTTCGAAAAAAGTAAACTTTGAAAAAAGTAAACTTCGAAAAAAGTAACTTTGAGTAAAAAGTAGGTCTAATCACCCGTTTTGCAATCATTTTATCAGTTTCCAACGCTGCCGCTTCGAGCTTAGCTCGTCTTGAGATCAAAGCCACTTTCTTCATCTTCGATGTGACACTATCGGAAGTTCTCGGAGAACTGGAACTGAGAGTAGAAGCGCGACTTCTGGGGACAGTAATCGTGATGACATCTTTGTCTCCAAGAATCAATCGCTTGCATTCTTCTGCATCCTGCTTGAGTTGCTGAACTAGAAACTTTAGGAAAGCACTGAATTGGAGAAACATATAAACCACGTACATGGAATTCATTATCTGAAAGATATTCTGTGAACTTGGGATCTGTGAGAAAGTGAATGAAGTTGAAGGCATGACTGGCCCACAGAGGAATATGTGGAGATGGTTGCGGCTGCATAACAGTGACCTAAACGGTCGCAGCTATAGGACCATTAGCGGTTGCGATGAAAGCAAATGGACATGTTTAATTATGTTTGAGAAAAATCAGCAAAAATTTCGAATGCATTTTCAACAAAAGACGAAACATCGCAAGGGCAAGGATGCTAAAAAGTAGGATACACTCAAAACAATAGCACTCACTAATTCCTTCCATTGATGTATCACATCCACCCCTCGCACCGCTAACTCCTCACCAAACTCGAGCATATAAGAATCACCAACATATCGACAAACATCACGATGGAGCTAAAATAACATATAAATCTGTTTGCTTGTCAACCAAACACTTTTCTCTATCAAAAGTAATGCGCAATTTACCTGAAATTCGAAGTTGAACGCATGAATAAGTGTAGAATGCATGTATTCTCGCATTCTAAGGGCATCATAACGGCGAACGTCATCACTTAAGGCAGAGATTCCGTGTGAGAGAACTGTTGATAAATCCAAAAATGTTGCCTAAACACAAGCAGTCTT